TTTTCCCCCTTTGTAGGTTTGGCCCTACGAAGAGCGTGATGAATGTGGCTTTGTTCAAGGGCTTTTTGGTTTGATGCATGCTCTTTTCTCTCGTGATTGGGAGTCTCTCAGTACTACTCGATCAATTCAACGTGTTGAGGTTTGGACAGTTTCTTTTTATGCCTGGCCTAAAATTGACATATCAACTGTTCAATCTTGTAACTTAGTTTTTGATATTTCTGTTTAACTTAGTTTTTGATATTTCTGTTTTCTTTTCCCCCTTGTTTGATGGCGAATGAGCAGAACCAGAGGAAGACAGAGCTTAACTCGTTTCAATTATGCTTCAGCCTAAGCTCTTATCTATATTTTCTGGTCACAAAGAAATCCCTTAGACTGCAGGTACATTTTTCAATTATGCTTCAGCCTAATCTCTTATCTATATTTTCTGATATATCTGCTGATTCTTCCACTAACGAATTTACTTTACTACAGATCTCAGACGTTCCCCTAGATTACAATGCTGCTGTGGGACTTCAACTTCCCACATTGAGTTTGCTGGGTTCTTTTCTCACTTCTGTCACAACTGCTCTTGAAAGAGCCGCCGAGGAAAAGTCCTTACTACTCAATAAGGTAAAATTGGATTGAAACAACATTTTCCCTTGCGTTGCTTCATAAATTTTTTCATACTGATTTGATATTTCCTTTTGTACATAATATGCAGATTCGAGACATAAATGAATTATCGAGACAGGAGGTGGATGAAGTCATTAATATATTTGCCCAGCAAGTTTTTGTTTCGCCATCAGACAATATCCAGAAAAGGTAATTGAGTTTCACCATTATGCTCAATTAAGAAGTAAAGTGGTCTTTGTTCAATTGATTTGCTCAAGACTGCATTTCCATGATTCCATCAGCATCAGTTCGTTGAAATATTCCCGGTTCATGGAGCATATAATTGTCTTCTGGATTCTTTTGTTTTATAGGAGGTATATCGCGATGGTGGAAATGTGCCAGGTTGTTGGTATAAGGGATCAGTTAATAACTATTGTACTTCCGCTCGTGGAACACGTGCTGAACATTTTCCTGATCCATTTCCAGGATAGGTATGGACCTTTTTGATCGTTTCTTTTCTTTTGAAGGGTTGGTTGTCGTAGTTTGTTGAGGCTCATAAGAGATCGTATCAGTTACATAACCCTGTATATTACCAGTGGATCGTGGCTATTTGGTTTTGTTTATCCAAGATGTTGGTATTGACTTTCTTTTCTTAACAGCTCATTGTTATCCGATGCCAAGGGATCATTGAAGACAATCATGTACGGTGCCAAGTCTGAACCGGCACAAGACATATTGTCCGTGTGTGGAAATCTAATTCCCACTTTAGAACGACTTGAGTTACTAAGCGAGGTACGCCATACTTTTATACTGCAGTTGCTAGCCTGATCATTCTCGGTTGCTAAATGTAAAATTTTCTTTTTATTCTTCTTTCTTCTCTTCTCAGGATAAAGTAGGCCACAATCTGAAGGTGTTTCGGAGATTAGCGACTTCACTCAAGGAAATGGCGATTCAACGGTTAGGCTCTTGAGAATGTCCGAACCAGCTATTGGTCCAACTCGATAAATTTCACATTAATGTATCCGGTCTTGTATTCTAATGGCATAGTGTTGTTGTACGTTAGGATTGTGTGATATCAGAGATTTTCTGTAAAATGCAAAGTTATACAACTTTTTGTCCATCGAAATCTCCGATTCTGTATAATGCTGGAGTTCGGCAAAAATGAACTGTTGATAAAGTTGCGATGAAATTATCGGTTAGATTAAGGTGATTGAATTCTGATACGAGCTGTATCGGGTAAACAACGAGATCGAATTTGGAGACATGGTTCTGGTTGAACTACTCCGAAGGCCATTGCCTAAGGTACATGGATCTCAAAAATATTCCGGTGCAAGCAACGGGGAGTGTGATTGGTTTTACCAGTTCCTTGCAGGCATCTCTATTGCAGCAGCAGTTTTGATCGATAATTATGGGGTTCTTAACAGAAAGGAAAATATGTGCTCCAACGTGGCCCGTCGGACGTAGCCTTGGCCAACCTTGATAGGAGAAATGTCGGAACAAAATGTTGCTCGAAACAGTGAAAATTGAATTAGAGTATCGCTCGAACTTGTATCCGAAATTTCGGGTTTCGTTCGGTACCTGCCATGTCTTGGTCCGAGCTCCGTTGGTGGTTTCCTTGGAGGTAGACCTGAACAAAGTTCCCACTCCGCCCTAATCTTCCAATGCTGCTTTCATACACAATAAACATGCCATTCAGTACTACGGTCTGGTGATATTTTTCTTCATTTGGAAGTAAGAGGTCTTAGGTTCGAATCTCGTGGATGGCGAATTCGATATCAAATTTGGTTGCCCATTGTGTGGGTTAGCCGAACTCCGCCTCTTCTTAGTGTAAAAATATCGATGTACTAAAAAAAAAAAGGATAAACATTGAGCTTTCCATGTAAGTAATCAACTGATAGTGAATTTCACACAACTGTTTTCTCATGCACTCATCTTTTTCAGTCCCTTGATTCTCTGATTCAATCCAAGGGACGGAAAAACAGGGAGGAGCGAAGAAAGAGGAGTCTGAAAGTCAATACTCTCGAGGAAACAAGATTAAAGAAATTTTTACCTGATTCTGTGACCGGACCTGACGCACATTTAACACTGAAGATGATTAGTGGATATGTGGTCTCCAATGGAAACACAATCATCACCTGATAATAACATCACTAATTTCGTGTCAATGTCAATTAACGAGTAATTTTTTTTGCTCAGAAAGTAAAAAAAAAAGGAAAATTTGAGACTTTGACTGCACTAGTGATACGCACATTGTGAGAGGCAGAAATGTGAATTCCATCAGTGTTGGGGCTTCTCTCCGGAGCTTAAGTCAGCACGTTGTCTATGTGAATCCCTTCTCACCCTTCTATTAAGACATGGATTTGGGAGCTATTTACGAAATGAACCTCGCTAGTGCTGCTGTTATTACGCAACAGAAACTTCACCGTCTGCATTTAACACGGACTGTGATTCTCTCCGGGGCTCAGATTAATTAGAAAAGTTAGCTTATAATTTTGAAAACTTTAACGAAATACTATCGGTATTATTCATTTTAACAAAAAATTACATTTTTACATTAAAAAATCAATCTTGATACTATTCATTTTACCTTTTATTTTATTCTTATCGTTAAAACTCAAAATTTTCAAATCATTTTTATTAATTTTCCTTATAATTTTCTACTTTTGCAGATGTTTAATAATGTATTAAGTTATTACACATGCATTTATGTTACGATTGTGAACGACGTCCAAATTACACATCTTCCATGCACAACATGTGATTTAACTGCTACCTTACGTGTTTTTCTTTTTATTTTTTCTTTAACATATTAGCTATAACTATTCAACGGTAATTCTGATTAAATGGTTGCCGTCGTTCCTTTTGTCAATTAGAAAACAAAAGAAGCTTCTCCAGTTCTAGTTTCCATGCTTCGAATCCAACAGCTGAAAACCGCATGTTGAGATTGAATGGTTAGCTAGAAAATTTGTTAACAAATTGTTTCAAGAAAAAAAAAAAAAAAAGTAGTTTTGCTAAGTTTTTTCTTTTTAAAGTGGCTTCCATTCCATACCATTTCATCACAAACATGAACCAAATAATCGATATTTAGGGTAATAGGGTGTAATCATGAAGGGTGGCTTTTAGCCAAAGTGGAACCTCACTAAATCCCTCATGAGTATTAGAGATTTTTCATTGTGCTCGAAACACGGGTGATATAGTACATGTCATTATATAAGTGGAGGAAAGTTTTATTTTTCAAGTTGCTAATCTTTTAACACAAGTATTTCACCACTTGTACAATAACGACACGTGGTGTACCACCATGTTTTTCAGGCACATTGGAAAATCTATCCATGAGTACAAAAGATTTTTTAGTGTGGCATGAACATTACTTAGTATGTCAATGATAATAGTACAATTAGTTGGAAATAGAATTTATCGAGCCGTGTTTCTGACATATTACAAAATATATCTCGAACTATTATGTTCGGGTTTCTTTTGCTCGGCCTTGTCAGCGTGTATGCCCTTTTGGTCTAGTTTAATGCATGATGATTTTCTTTTATTATAACGATATTATATTTCAAGCTGTAAAATTTGGATTGAACTAACTCAAATTAGATAATCATAATAATTAAGTATTAAATTCGTTATTCATATAATTCAAAACTTAGACTTCTCGTTTACAAACAAAATAAAATACTATTAAATTCTAAAAATCATAACAAAAACAAAGTAAAAAACTGAAATAAAAACATAACAAAAACAAGTTTAGCACATCTTTGAGTGAGTTGCCAAAAACTGTTTTCCATCTTAAAAAATCAAATTTTTGGCCATAAAAAGGGTTTTAGCAAGGATTCGAGTATCACACAAACAAGCTTAACACATCTCTGGCTGAGTTGTCAAAAACCATTTTCTCTACCCATAAATAGGGTTTTTGGAAAAACAACTTAACAGAGCAACTTAATTTCCTTACTAGTTTAGAACATTTTGGTTCTGTTTCCAAAAACTGTTTTCAAGAACAGTTATCAAAACTAATACAAAAAGTGATTGGTTTCCTCTCCCTTCACTTCTATCCAGATCTGGGTTCTCACTCATTCATCCCAAATCAGCCAAAATTCAACATTTTCCTGAGAAAAGCCCAGAAAGTCTGCAACTTTACTAAGAAAATCCTAGAAAGATTCAATCTTAGCCACCCATCTGATCCAACGGTCCAAAATCAGAACCCATAAGAGAAAAGTCGCTGAACCTGCACTCTGTGTACTGTTGAGAGTTGAAGTTCGAACACTCTCTCCCCAGAAAACCTTCTACAACAGCAAAGCCACTGCAAACAGATCTAAATCCTAAAACTTTCCCGGAAAAGACCCATTTTCCGAGAAAGTCACGCATTTTCTCGGGAAATTAATAACCCAAACTTTTCCCACCAATTTCCAATGGCTAATGCTTGGAAAAGAGACAAACCCATGAAACCCCTTGTGTTCCTCTTCTCTGCAACTATCGTCCTCATCTTCATCTTCTTCTTTTTCGCCACCCGCCCTTCCGCCGCCCCCGCCGCTGCCGCCGCCAACGACCCCACCATCCGAACCAATCTTCCGATCTACCGAATCCCGCCGTTCAATTGCGAGGAGTGCCCGCAGGCGTACCCCGTCATCGCCAACGTCGTTGAAGGGCTCCGCTATCCCTTCATCTACTCGCTCGCCGATTTGGGCAGCTTGCCGGAGAAGCCCCACAAGAACATCGTCCGATTCCTCAAGGGGAAGCCGTTTCGGAGGCCCGATATCTCGGCCACGATTCAGGGAGTTCTCGAGAAATTCAAAGGGGAAGGGAGGGACAACGGACTGGTGGTGGACGTCGGTGCCAATGTCGGCATGGCCAGCTTCGCCGCCGCCGTCATGGGTTTTCAGGTGCTTGCTTTTGAGCCAGTTTTCGAGAATTTGCAGAGGATTTGTGATGGGATTTACTTGAATCGTGTGGGGGATTTGGTAACGGTGTTCGAGGCCGCCGCCTCCGACCGCCCTGGCAATATTACCTTCCACAAGGTACCCCTTTTTGCAATTTTGATTTAAAGTTTTGTGCTTTTGTTAGCTATAAATTTTGTTTGTATGTGAAATGAATTTCAAATGATTGAAGATGAGTAAATATGAAACTTTGCCATTTGAGGGAATACATAGGACGGCATTTCGGGGGCAGAAATTCTCTGTGCACGACGTTAGTCGGACTAATTAGATTACGAAAATATAATAACGTGCTATAGTACGTGATGGGTTGAATTGGTGGTGCAAATGAATCCATGGAACCTCAGATGTGCTTTTGAGTGAATTGTGATCACGTATTGCCTTTAGTTGAATATGTGATGGGATGAATCGAGAGGCTGCAGAACGGAATTCAATTAGCACAGCGAAAATCCTATGTACGGCATTGTTGTTTGGTTTGTATTAGATAATATGCTCTCCAAAATAATGTAGATTTGTAATGCTGTGATAATCTTCAGTCTGTTGCGTTTCTTTTGTGAATCCTGCTTTTGTTACCAGTTGGTTGGTCGGATGGACAACAGTGCTATTTCAGCGACTGGCGCAAGGTTGGCTTTCAAGAATAACGAAGAAGTGGCAGTTCAAGTAAGAACCATCCCTCTCGATGATGTGATCCGGGAAACAGAGCCTGTTCTCCTGCTCAAAATTGATGTGCAAGGTTGGGAATATCATGTGCTGAAAGGAGCTTCCAAGTTGCTGTCAAGAAAGGCTGGAGAAGCACCCTATATAATCTACGAGGAAGATGAGCGGCTGCTGCGAGCAAGCAATAGCAGTGCAAGAGAGATTCGAAATTTCCTTAAGGGTGTGGGTTACAATCATTGCACGCTGCATGGTACAGATGCACACTGCACCAAATTGGGTTAACATGTTCTTCATACCTTAGGCTTTGCCGCGAGAAACAGAACCAAACTACCATATCGTGGTTGGTTTGTATATAATTTTCTGAAGACGGACTAGTCATACATGATACTGTCAGATAAATTAGACAATGGTCCAACAGATATCAATGTAACACAGCGGGTGCCTGCAGTCTGTAACGTGCGTTGGCCATGATGGTTGAGGGCAAGCTATTTCGGGAAACACTCCGTCAATACATTGAAAGGAGATCGGTTCAGAAGAAGCTGCTCGTTGAGCTCAACCGGATTTATCTACATGTGTTGGTCGGCACGTTGCAGTGTGCCCTTGAAGGCTTTTAATTGTAAAATGATTTTTCGTTAACTGATCTTTACTGATGGTTGATACATTCAAATTTCTATTCGATTTGTTGACGATGTCAATTCCAAAGTTTATTAGGAGAATTTTCTCTTGTAATAAGAAAAAGTAGAAATATTCGAATTTTCATATCGTATATCGAAAAAATTACTTGTACAAAGATCGTTTCATCTCTTTTGGTAGTTCAATTTTTTGATTCCTAAGGCAAAGACGAAAACAAATAGCACTGAAAATCCGACTAACACAGTTGCAACAATGCCTACAAAGTCGTTCCTATACCCAAAATAAGACCTCATAAATTCATCCACAGTTTCGCCGGAATCAAGTCTGTCCGTGATGCCTCCAAATTGCGAAGAAAACAAGCCGTACAAGCTCCAAGATGTCGGGCTAATCCAGTAGAACCATCTCCACCACATTGGAATTCTCTGTCAGAATCAAAACAGAGAGTAAGTACACTCAGAAGATTGGCATTAAAAGATTTAGTGATCGTAGACATGCGAGAGCTTACTGTTTTGGGAATGAGATATCCGGAAATAACGTTCCATAGCGGATAGAAGGCGGATGAAACAACGATAGAGATGGTGTTATTGGGAGTGATGGCCACTGCCATCATGCCATGGAAGGTGAAGTACAAGAAGGTGAAGCACATGAAGAAGAGATACAAAAAGAATTTGCTGACCGTCCACTCAAATCCGACCATTGTGTACACTATAACTCCGTAGATGATAGTTTGGATCAACGTGTATGGAATCTCAATGACGGCCTGCAATACATCGTTGTAAGTGAATAGTACTAGAAATGATTTTTTTAGAGTTAAAATGTCCTTAACATTAAAAGTGAACAGTACCAGGAGTGTTTGGTTAAAACTCCCTTAAGTTAAAGGTTCCGGCCACAAATACTATACAATGTAGATCAAGCTAACGCTCTCCCTCACGGGCGGTCTCACCCTACATTTAACTTAGTAAACATATATACCTGTCCGAAGGCAAATGGAAATGCTGAGTACATTTCTGCAGCCCTTTCTCTGTAAGATACCATCCTCTCGATGCCTACAACTGGCTGCACTGCTAAGGAGTTTTGTATCCCAATGAAGAGAACAGCAGCATACATTGAACCGATTGCGTTAAGAAGATCTCTTTCCCTTTCCCTGTATTCCAAGAGAAAATTTAATCAGCCAAATTAAGGACAAGGAGATTACACACAAGGTTTAGGCCACGCTTACGTCTGACTATATTATTACCTTTTGGTGCCAAGATCCCAGAAAATTGTTCCAAAGAGTAAAGCCATCATAGCTGTGTAAAACAGCTTCATTGCACTATATTGCGGGTTTCGCCAATATGATATGTGTTGCTTCCATAAGCAAGCTCGACACTGGGTAAAGAACGATTGAGAATATTGTGACGGGAAGTACAAGTCTTTCGAATTTGGTGCAGGGGTGCTTAGCTCCTTGATCAAGGCCTTGTTTCTCCTAATGAAACATTAACATATATAGTATTAGTAGCTGAAACAGATGTGAAGAAATATTATTATCTGAGCTTTTATCAATCTCTTACCCGTATATTTCTGAGTTCTTGTATATTTCAGCGAAATTAACCCCGAGCGCTGCTTCTTGTGCTGCAGAAGTAACCTCCAACATCCATGTTGCCGGATTGTAACCATCCTTTATTTTTGGAACGCCATTAATCCCCTAATTGGTTAAATAATATACCATCTATGTTAGTAGCAGCAGTTGAGCAGAAAATATGGCATGTACAGTGTGTTTAATTTATGTATAATCCTAACCTCAAAGTATTCGATCAACTTGGAAGAATGGTGGCCTAAAGGGCCACCGTATATTTCTTCGCCTCCCTCTTTCAAGAGCAGCATCTGCAACAGAAAATCGAGTATATTCAAGTTCTTGTGACATTGAACAGCATAATATCCATGTAACTCTAAAGCATAAAAAGGGATTGTGATCATCACCTCATCGAAAGCATCGAATATATCAATGCTTGGCTGGTGGATGGTGCAGACTACGGTCCTCCCAGTGTCCACTGTATTTCTCACCGTTCTCATTACAATTGCTGCTGCCCTGGCATCAAGGCCAGAGGTCGGCTCATCCATAAATATGATGGATGGGTTGGCAACAAGCTCTACCGCAATTGTTAGCCTTTTGCGCTGCTCCGTTGAGAGACCATTCACACCAGGCAATCCAACAAGTGCGTTGCGTATTGGAGTCAATTCCACAAGCTCCATTACTTCCTCGATGAACATCCTTCTGCTGCGGGAATCAACCTCAGGGGGTAACCGGAGCCATGCAGAGTAAACCAAAGACTCGTACACTGCAACATGAGGAGAGTGGATATCTGTTTGCTCGCAGTATCCTGTTACGCGAGCAAATGTGCCTTGGTTTTTTGGATATCCGGATATTGTGATGCTACCCTTGATACGTCCACTGGTTTTCCTACCTGCCAAAACATCCAGTAGAGTGGTTTTACCTGCGCCACTAATACCCATTAGGGCTGTCAAGACTCCTGGCCTAAAAGTTCCACTCACACCCTGGAGAATTTCTTTCCGTAAGCCTTCATTACTTATGCCTTGAACTTTCTGTTCATGAGGCATGTCAATCGCATATCGTATTTCATTAAAAGTAACCGAAAGAGGTTGAAAAGGCAGAACCATTCCGCGCTGCCTCTTTGTACTATTGGCTTCCATGTCTCTTCCCTCTGATACCGCAGTCAAAGCCTCATTGGACACTTCTGATGCTGCACGGGGCTCTTCAAATGCTGTACATGTAGCAAAATTTCAGTACATAAACATTTAAGAAGACAGAACAAAAAATGTCTAGGTTAGTTGGTTCTTACGATCAAGATACTCAAGTGCAAACGTGAAAAGGAAGTTGAATAGAACAGTAAAGCCGATCAAAGCTGCCACTCCAATCCAATACCAACGTGCTTCCGGAGATACTCCTTGAGACTTCAAGACTATAACTCCTAACGCTTCTGTTGAGTTTGCAGGAACCTACAATACACATTTACACACATTAATTTGCCAATTAACATTTTTCTAAACAATACGTTGGCTCAATCATAGAGTCGTTACTTACATGTCTCCAACTTTTTCCTAGAAATTCATTTACAGCCATTGCATTCAGTCCGTATGTGAACGGTGAGAGATAATATCCCCACAACGTCCACTTGTTCATATCGTCTGCCATAGAAAGCTAAATCAGTCCATCCACCAGAACATAAAGATATAACCTAGCACTGTATTAACTTAGTTATAATACATGAGACTAAAGTATCAAAGATCAACCTCGTGGTAAAACAAAGCCGCTCAGACCAAGAATGACGAGGAAAGCAACAAACCCGAATGTATTTGCAGCAGTTATGTTCCTTCCTACTACCCCTATCAATCGAAAAAGTCCATTTGCCATCTGGCTAATGCACGCTAGCACAAGGAACTGCTTGAAAAACCTGTTACAGCAAGTTAGCAAAATTTCATAATTAGATTTCATATATAAACCAATGCATAAAAATCTTATTGGAATATGTTTCTGTTTTTCAGTCGATCACCTTGCGAAGCTTGGATCATAACCGATGGGATAGTAAGTGATGAGCATCCAAATGGAGACTTCCACAAATGTCATAGGGATCCGTATCATCCATTGAGGTAGAGTATACACCCAAGCTGGATAGAACAAATCGTCCCTTTGCTTGTAAAAGGCCGGAAGTCTCTCAACAGTCATGTGCAGCTCCGCAAACCCATTGAACATGATTGATAGCAGTGTAAAGAACATAGCTCCCATATAAATTCCACCATCTGCTGCTGTATTCCGGTGCATCTCAGTGCGTAGGAATAACGTCGTCGTTACAAAAGCAGCTACAATAAGCTGAAATACAGGCATTTAATGAATTTCATTGGGGTGGGGGTGGGGGACTTAGGGAGGTTTATATAGTGCAGACTTATATACCTGCACCAATTTGAAAATGTAGACGAATTTATTCCGCTTCATAAGAATAATTTGTCTGTCCATACAAGCTTTTAACAGTTCCTTGTTGCTAGCACCGTACTTCTTAGTTGTTAAATCCAAAGGGTGGCCTTCGGACTTGTTAAACGGAATAGCAAGCTCATCGCTGAGTTTTTGACCAATGTGAAACGAATTCATTGCTTCAGAAAACTCTTTGGGAGTTACAAAGCCATAAGGCTTCTCTCTATAGACCCAGTATTGCTCTTGGTCTTTCCTTGATGTCACCTATAATCGAAGAGGAAAACAAAAATAATAGTTGGATTAGTCGGAGGAGATATATATGCATGACAATCGTTATAAGAGTGAGTTATGTTAACTTACTTCTTGTAAGAAATCGGCGACTCCTTTCCTCTGGGGACATTTGAATCCCATGTGCTCAAAGAACTCGAGCACATTCTCACGGGGACCTTGATACACAATGTATCCATCCGAGAGGAGAATTATGTCATCGAAAAGATCATATGTCTCCGGTGCTGGCTGCAGGAGAGCGATTAATGCAGTTCCATTGAGGATGTAGACACAATGACGCAGCGAATTCACTATTTGAAATGTTGTAGAACTGTCCAGGCCAGTCGATATCTCATCCATAAAAAGTACTCCTTCTGGTCCGACTAGCATCTCCCCTGTAAGTAATGGTTGGCCAGAATTTAAATAACAATTTTTTTACTTGAATCAACCTAATTCACTACAAATTCTACGCTAGCTCTACCTGTCGTGACTCGCTTTTTTTGTCCACCAGATATGCCTCTGGTCATTTCGTCCCCTACAACGGTGTCAGCACAAGCTTCCAGTCTCAAAACCTGAAAAGTTGTATTAGCAAAAACAGTTATTAACAAGATAGTATCTTTATTTATGCAAGGCATTAACGTGGACGAATGGAAGGGACGTACCTTGAGTATTAAGTCTGTAACTATATTGGCTTCCCGTCCTTCTAGTACCGCTGCCTGCGAAAAAAAAGCTTAATCAATAAGTTCTGGAAAATCGGAATGCTACTTCAAGGAACAAGTGCAAACTATGTTCATACCTTCATGATTAGATCAAGATCAAGATCCGGCATGACGTTTGCAGCCTTCTCTCTTCTCAATAATTCTACCAACAATTCTGAATTGTTTACCAAATGCAAATAATTAATAACTTAATCGAGATTCAAGATTTATTTAAAACTAAATCAGTCGACGGTACTTTAAGCTAGAGAGAGTAGCGTACCAAAGCGCGGCCCAACACCATGACATCTCGCTGAAAAAGCCAGCGTTTCTCTCACTGTCAATTCCGGTAAGTGGAGATCGTGTTGGCTAACATAAGCTGCCGCCCTCTGCGGCACAAACTCCTCCATCCCTTGTCCGTTGTATGTAACTCTCCCCGAAAGCTAATAGTTAAGTCACCAGTTACGTTACATTAAATCAAATGGTGAAAAGTGAAATAAGTATGATGTATGTACGCTTACTTTTAGATGGTGTTTGCTAAGTTTTCCAGCCAATGCCAATAGTAATGTGGTCTTTCCAGAGCCCGGGGGGCCTAAAAGAAGTGTCATTCTGCAGAAATCAGACCATAACACGATTAATATGCACGAAAAATGCAATGCAGACGCAGTTTGAAGATTTTGATCGTGTCTAATTAATGACCTTCTTGGCTTGATAATCCCACTTGCATCGTGGAGGATCGACACTGGCTTCTTCTTACTTGTAAGAATGTGAAAGCATTTCAGGAACCCCTTCAAATTCAAATTCAGAGAGAGAAAAAGGGTTAGTTTCAATACACACATGCATACATACAACTAAAACAAAGCTTTATACAACTAAGTGAGATCGGCTGTATACTCGGTTTTGTGTCGAGTTTTCTATTAGCTCCAAATACTCCTCGTCTTTTTTAAGTGATTAATTATATTACCTCCAAGATATTGAGGGAGAAGTTGAGGATTGAAGGCGATGCCCTGCTTCCTACGTGAGCTTCTGCTTCAACGTTCAAATGCTCGAACCGCACCTCAGTTGTTGGAAATTCAAGTCCAACTCTGCATAATTTATTTACAAACGCACAGAACAAAATTCAAAACCCGCCAAAACCAAACCACATGTGAACAAGTGAAAATGATATTTTTTAGAGTGCCAAGAACAACTTTTCTAAGTTATATCAGTATATATTATATTTTATTCTAAATACTAAACCCTAAACCGAAAAGTACATATTATCAATTTAAAACCTTATCGAAATGCTGATATGTCGTCGATATTATTACAGTTGTCAATATGTCGTGGAATTTCTTCTTCAAATGCATAAGAATATTGAGATTACCTGTTCATGCGGTCCTTGAGCTTGAGCAAGAACGTGGGATTATTACTAGTTTCATCTTGGTTTGAATTATTAATCTGGATAAGCCTCTCCAAAACGTTTTTCCTTTCTACTAATCGAAGTTCCTTCACATCAATCTCTCTGTTGTGTTCTTGATCTTCCGCGAGCAGAATACCTCTCCTTGCTCTCGAGCGCGTCGGCAGTCGCTCTAAAGCAGCCCATGACGTCATTTTCCGATTCGACTCGGAGGAGGAGTTTGGCTGCTCTTCTTGGCTGAGCTTCATGGCTGTTCTTTCTCTTTTTTGTATTCGTTGACCAAAACAAGTAGGAAAACGTCTCCCTGCTTTTTACGGCGAGCAAAAGACAAAGAGTAAAAGCCTGATGGAAGCCATTTTAATGTATTTTCGAACACAGGTCAAGAATATTGCGATTTGTGGGGATTAAAAATACGGAATTAAATCCTAATTAGTAGAGCACGAATACTGGAGAATTATAAAGTTGGTGGGACTGTCTCGTTTATTCATTTATAATTAAAGTGGGAGAATTTGAATTGATAAAGAGTTGGAATGAAGAACCGTTAGAATTAGATTTCCAATGAAGTTAGTTAAAAAAAATTTGTATAATTGGAATAGAATTGATATAGATTCTTTATAAATTGTTCGCTAATTCATAGGAATTGGAATAGAAATCATTATAATTACTAAAATGCCTTGAGTTTATTTATTTAACAAATGACTTTATCAAAAGAAAGCGGAATGGGTAAGTTTAACCTTATAATGAGTTAACAAGAATATGAATCAAACTCGCATTGGAATTTGAAATAAATTATTTTATATCCTATTTTACCTAAGCCCTAAACCGAAATATACATATTATATAAAAATTTAAAACCCTATCGATATGCTAACAATACAGTGATATTATTGTTACGAGAAAATTGTAGCAACAATCTTTCAAATTTTAATAGAATTGGAGCAATGATCTCTCGACTAAAAATCTATGACTATTAGTTCCTTAACTCATCAAAACGTGCAGTTATAATTATTTTCGTCAACTTCATTAAACTTTCTGTCAAAATGAGCCACGTGCCACACACATGAGGCTAATTTAAGGGGAAAATATGGAAAACAAAATGAGAAAATTAGAGAAATGGTTCATCAACTTTAACGTAATTGAAGAAATTGTCCCTTTATTGTAACCCAATTGTAATAATAATCCTTCCACCCTTAGCTATTTTGACGAAAGTTCTGACGGAAATGACGAAATGACCATATCTGCACGTTTTGATGAGCTAAAAAATCAGTGACCAAATATTTTTTAATTGAAGAACTAATGCTCCAATTGAATAGTTAATAAATCATCATTACAATTTTCTTTTATTATTACAGTTGTCAATATGTCGTCAAATTTCTTCTTCAAATGCATAAGAATATTGAGATTACCTGTTCATGCGGTCCTTGACCTTGAGCAGAGCGTGGGATTATTAATATTTCATCTTGGTTTGGATTATTAATCTCGATTAGCCACTCCAAAACGTTTTTCTTTTCTACTAATCCATGTCTTTTCAAATCAGTCTCTCAATTGTGTTCTTGATCTTCCGCGAGTAGAATACATCTCCTTGCTCTCGAGGGCGTAGGTAGTCGCTCCATAGCAGCCCATGCCGTCATTTTCCCTTCCTGGCTGAGCTCCATGGCTGGGCGAATTCCCCTGTTCCCTTCCATTTCACGTTTCTTTTCTAACTAGCCTACATGCACGTGATTTCACGTTTCATTTCTAATTCGCCTTCATGAACACGCATTTCATTTCTAACTAGACTTCATACATGCGCTTACGTGCGTGTATAAGATATTTTTTTAAATCACGGCGTGCTATACGCGACTTACACGTTTTAAATGTATTTTTATGCATAAATTGACAAAAGGAAAGTCAAAATTTGAAGTAAATGAATAATTTTAGATCATGCTAAAAAAAACCCTCACAAACTAATCAAAACAGCTGAATTCACATAATAAAATCTGTAAGATCCCACATCGACCAACGAAGTGCTACGGCGGAGCCGGGACTAGGATGTGACAGAATGGTATCAGAGGCACTCTACTGTGTGGTGCGAGTGTGCCGACGAGGACTTCGGGTCCCTAAGAGGGGGTGGATTGTAAGATCCCATATCGATTAACGGAGAGGAGATGATGTGCCTTATATGTACATACTTCCCTCCCTATAGCACGAGGCCTTTGGGAACTCACTGGCTTCGGGTTCCATCGGAACTCTGAAGTTAAGCGAGTTCGGGCGAGAGCAATCCTAGGATGGGTGACCTCCCTGGGAAGTTCTCGTCTGAGTTCCTAGAAATAAAACCATGAGGGCATGGCCGGGGCCCAAAACGAATAATATCGTGCTACGGCGGAGCCAAGACTAGGATGTGACAAAATCGGTCTTTCAATTTCCATCTACATTCTATTGAATCTACATTAAGAATAGAGAAAATAATATTTAATAAACAACTGATTAAATCACATTATTATTTACCCATTGTGAGGCTAAGCTCATCCCCTCTCTCTTAGTGTAGATAATATCTTTTGTTCAAAATCAAAAAAAAAAAAAAAATCATTTGACAACTAATTTAATCACATTATTATGCGCATGCAAAAGATCATTTTTATAACCGGCATTACAAGCCTCTTAAGATGTTTTGAATATGTTTAAAAATAGAGAAAATAATATTTAATGAACAACTAATTGAATCACATTATTGCTAACTTATTGTGAGGTACTAAATAAAAAAATTGTACAGAAAGAATTAATTATAAAAAAATATATTAAAAGGCGAAAATACCCTTGCATTATTTAGTGTATTACTTTGGGTTGCTTTTGAAATTTTTTGTTTTGGGGGCATTTTTGTCCAAAACTTTTTGGTGAAACTTGTGACCCCAAAAAGGGTTGTTGGCTTTATATATAAAGATTAATATAGACTTATTTTTAGCTATGCATTCTTGATCTTCATTTTGATCTCACTTTGCTCATGTAATTCAAAAGTCACTATTTTACTTCTTAAAACTTAAAATTCGTTCCACTTTGACTTGTGAACTCTCTCTTCTGCATGAAAATTATAGGTTGCCCTCCTAAAATATATGTCGGACCCAACACTCAACAAGACTATGTCATATGTGCAATAAATTTGATTATAAAACACCATTATGCGTTAACATTTAACAATTAGATAATATTAAGTTTAAAAGAAGTTAAGGATATGAAAAAAATAAAATAGAAATTGATTAGCCTAGTGATCCAAATCAAATACGCATAAGAAATTAACATATCTAAGGCAATGTGGAGTGAATTTTAAGTTTTATAAAGACGACTTTCAAGTTTCAGGGGCAAAATGGGATCAAAATCGAGTCTCAGAGGGCAAATTGAAGCTAACTTTGAGTTTTAGGGAGTAAAGTGATTACTTTTAAGCCATAAGAGCAAAATACGATTAAAATAAAGTTCTATCGTGGTGTAGCTAAAAATAATATATTAATATATGAGATGTCCTTTGTCTGGGAAGACTTTGAATTTTCTTACAGTTTGTGTTGAAGTCTATCCCAAACAAAGAGTGGTTCACGCATTCAACTTCACGTTTCTTTCCTCATTGACTACACATTCAGCTTCACTTTGAATTTTGTTACAATTTTTGTTCTTTGTGAGAAGACTTTGAATTTTCTTACACTTTTATGGCCTTGAAGTCTTTGTCTCTTATCTTTGAAATAGCAATTGGAAAGTCTGTAGTGTGATCAATACGTTTCACAAAATACAATAATCGCGCCTTTAATTATGATAGTAGCATTCCAAATCATAAGACTTTAGCAAATCATGACTGAGTCGACTTCTCTCAAAGACTCACTTAATTTCTATACAAAAGGGCTCCCGTGAAACTATGTGAATAGATTAAATTGACTTAATATAATTATTCTCGTATCGTTGAGGTTTCTCAAAATAAAAAACATAAATAAATAAATTGACACATTGACTAATCATTCAATAAAATGAGACCTTTTATATAGATTTAGAAGTGATCGTTTGAAAAAGGTACTTGTGTTTTTTCTCGAAGAGTAATAGTTGTATCTCTTCATATTAAAAATGCAAAGATCATAAATATAGAGTCACAATTCATCAATACCATTATATATTTAAATAAAAAAAATTAATTTATTTTGAATGGATATTTCAGAACACATGTCAAGAATATTGCTATTTGTGGGGACTAATGAAGGAAGAAAATAAGAGTCAACGAGTCTCTTTAACACGTATGATTTTAGTAGCCCAAGTCAAATGAAAACAAGTCTTTGTCGAACCAAATTCATTAGCCACTTGGACCTACGGTTTCCTAGTGCTACAACTTGTTGATGGCATTCTTCTAGAAATAGAATAGTATTAGAGTGGGACAGTATATTCGCCTCACACCACATCTCCACCGTATTGAGAGTGACTTATCGGGATCAAAAATGTCAAGGTGACAGTTCAAAACCAGCCATATAATATTATGTGAGAACTTTAAAAAACATGACGTTTTGTTATTGATGCAAATTTATGGAGTGACGTCCAGCGTACATCGTGGCACATGCATAGGATCAAAAATGTCAAGGTGACAGTTCAAAACCAGCCATATAATATTATGTGAGAACTTTAAAAAACATGACGTTTTGTTATTGATGCAAATTTATGGAGTGACGTCCAGCGTACATCGTGGCACATGCATATATTATAGTTACTTTGTGTGAAATATCTTTGTGTCGTCTATCATTGATTGCCGCGTGTTAAGTTTAAAGATAACATAATTAAAGAGAGTTAAGTTTATTGATAACAGAGTTAAAGAGAGAGAAATTTATGAACACATATCAATCAGTGATAGAGGTCACACACAAAATAGGTGCACAAAATTTTGTTTCTCCACTAAGTATATCAAGGATACAACTTAATCACAAGACAGGATATTTCTCCTGGGAAAGTATTTACAAGAGTGAATTTACTCTTGGGGAACAAGAAAGGGTATGTCTTCACAGGTTTGAGATTAAGCAGACTCACTAGCTCGGTGCATCGAACTCGAGACCTCTCATATTTTTTGTTTATTGGGAGCCGTAGTTCACGCCCTTTCTACTGAGCCACTTACTTAGTTTATGTTGTTTATTGATATAGTATTGTATTTCTAAGAAGCTTGTTAACGTGGTTTGTGATAAAAAGTTTGCCATCATTTAGTATTAGGAAACACATTGATTTAATTATCACTATATGAAAATCATAGTGGAGACTGGAGAGGGAATTTAAAGTCAACCAACCTTCGGATGAGGCGGTGACCACATGATTGCTTTGAAAATTATTTTTAGTCCCTTACTAGGTATAAATATGGACCCTCACCAGGTATAAATATAGACCCTCAGTTCGAAGAAATGATTATCTCACATTTTTATTTATGCGTACTTATCTTCTTAATTCTTACGATAGTTTCAAACATTCTTCTTCTCTTTAATAATAATAAAATTAAAAAAAAAACTTTTTAATTTCATTTTTCAAATGTCATTTGAAGTTTCAGATGAGGTATTGGGGATATTTATCCCAATACTCGTATACTGGATTTACGCTGGGGTTCTTCATTTTGTGGAATCCAGATTTCCAGAATTTAAAATCCAAGCAGTGAAAGAGTCAGAGGACAAAAACCTCGTCTCCCAACCAACTGTGATTGTCGGCGTTCTGCTCCAGCAGTTTGGGCAGGCTACAATAGCGGCGCTAATGTTCTGGTTGACCGGCCAGACCACTAAAGGCCATGCAGCTGCAACCCTCATGACGATGTTACGCGGAGGGGTCCAATTTTTCTTTGCAATGCTTGTCTTGGACACGTGGCAGTACTTCATGCATCGATGCATGCATGAAAACAAGGTGCTTTACAAGTACATACATTCTCGCCACCATAGGCTGGTGGCGCCGTATGCATACGGAGCACTATACAACCACCCTATCGAGGGGCTGCTAGTGGACACCATGAGTGGTGCCGTTAGCTTTTTGGCGTCCGGCATGTCTCCGAGGATGTCAATCTTTTTCTTCTCGTTGGCCACCGTCAAGGCAGTGGACGACCACTGTGGAATGTGGATTCCGTGGCATCCTTTCCACTTGGTGTTCAGAAACAACAGCCACTACCACACCATCCACCATTCCCTGTACGGGACCAAACACAACTACTCCCAGCCATTCTTCGTGTTCTGGGATAGAATATTTGGCACCTACTACGTGCCGCGTGGTGATGAGGAGGAGGAGAAGAGCATATAAGTATTATCATGTTATTTAATTATATATGTTGAATAAATTATGTTAAAATCTATAGCTATTTCGATCCTCACAAAGCAGGGAGCCTTATTGATTTAGAATCGTTTTTCAAAAATTTGTAGTTAATTATGAGACTAATGAAATACGTTACATTGTCAATAATACTTCTGTGTCGCATAACAGAAGAAACAGAGGCAACATGCGTCAATCTTTTCGTATGCCTATGCATATTAAAAGATGACAAGGATATTAACCAAAACCAAAATTTAAATGGAGTCTCCTATGTGTAGTTTACTTGTCTGGCGGAAATGGTTGAATGTTGGCTTGGTGCTGCATCTCTCTTATTTGATATCTGTTTTCGTTAGGTTGTGATACAACGGAAGTTATAGGATAAAATGGATCACAAATGGCTACCGTTGAATAAATTTCTGGAATGAATTGATAAAAGTTCTCAAAATTTGACTAATAATATGACAAGATTACCAACCAAAGGCAAGATGACCTTTTTATAATGTAATTTAACTCTTGAAGAGGTAGGAATCCAAATACGAAAGGAATTAAACGAATAACAAAATATAAAAATCTTACAATATGAAAACCTGGAATTAAACATATTAAACAACATAGTTCGTCCAAAATACGACTATGCTTGTTACAAACAAGAAGTCTTTTAAATCTTGTCGTTTTATTCGAATACATATATTAAGGGTCCAAAATTGACACGCCACACGAAAGTGGCATTAATCCGAACAACCTGGAAAGTCTTAAACATCCACTTTCAGGAAATAGCAGCATCAAATAATCTGCATCTAAAATAACACTAATTCCGTCATCCGTAGAGTTGCTATGGGAATGCACGGTGAGTAACGATACTTAATATGTGTGATTGCCAATCACATTTGTTTTGAGTAACGATGCTTGAAAATTTGTTTGTCATGTAACATTTCTCCCATGTAGGCAACACTTGGCCAACGGTCTGAACTCCCTTACAGATCGAGATTGGTTTTTTGCTCCGGTAGTAAGGAGCGGGTTCGTGTACTGATTAAGGCCTCTGTGGTGTGTTAAAAGATTCATTTTGGTCGTGTACTTTGTGTTTGTTGGTGACAGACCTCGTGGAGCTTGTACGGCTTGGTTTCTTCACGGTTTGGGGGAATTATGGACAAACTTGATTCCGGTGAAACTGTGGATAAATTTATGAGGTTCTTATTTCGGGTACCAAAAGGACTTCCTAGGTGTGGTTGCAACCGTCCTTGTTGGGTTTCCAGTGCTATTTGTTTTCCTCTTTGCCTTATGAATCAAAATCTTGAACGACCAAAAAGAGATGAAACTAACATCATACATGTGTATTTTTTCGATATGATATGAAAATTCCAATTTTCTACTTTCGTCCTCCGAACAGAAATATATTTACTATCTGCAGATAGCACAATTTTCAGTACTTGTAACCACAATATGCTCCTGCCTTCAAGAATCTTTCGGACCACTAGTTTGGGAAGGGCCAGCTCTCTCCAACATGACATCGTAAAGTTGCTTCCCATTCTGCTCGATCACCACATGACAGCAGATATCAAATAATTGTTGTATTCTCCGATCTGTGCATGCGTGTGCTTGTGTTTGTGTGTGCTGCATTGTGTTCTCGACTAAACCTTCATCGGTTTCTAGAAAGAATTGAACTCCACAAAGAGATACAAGCTTTGATTTTTCGGACACTTACAAATATCACCGGAAAGAAGTGCACTTGTCCTTCAGGCTTTGTTTGCTTCTCTTTAAAGTACACCAGAATAGGGAAATTTGGCCACCAGAGCTCCCAGTTCACGAACGATGAATACCTACGACCATCCAATAAATAAGTGCACTGTTTTACAATGAAATCCAACGCTCACTGATTCATGTAGCTACTTACTTCCAACGATTTTTTCCGCCCACGAAGACATTTTCACCTGAACTCTCAAGCTCTTCTCCTACTTTTACTTCCTAAATACACAAATTTCAGAAACAACACATTACACTAAGCCTACAAACCGAGCAAACAAACCACTCTTCGTAAGAATGTTGAGTAAACAAACCAGAGCCTCATCATCAAAAACAAATCTAACTCTTGTAGTCTGCAAGAAGAACACAAAAAGAAAAACGTTCAAGCTACTTCTTCGAATTTATATAGCACACGAGCATGTAATGTCTACTAATTTCTGGTATCGAGCTTGTACTGAATTTGTTTCAAATATCCTTACCTGAAACAATAACAGTAATCCAAGGAGACCGACGGGCGCAGCTGGTAGGAGATTATTCGTGTAAGCTAACCCACCAGATAGACCTGTTTCAATCAACATTTTTTGACATCACATACACAATGTTTCTACTTCTATCAAATAAATGCAAACGTTTCCAAATAGTCACGGTAACAAAAGAATGAAAACTAAAAACTAAAAACGCAATGGTTATTAAACGACCCTTAAAAAATGACCCAAAGTTGCTCAAACTTGAAATAATGCTGCTAAAAACTTGAGCATATACCTAGTAGAACTATCGGAATTCGATAATCCGGCTCCGGAATCACAGTCTGTCTGCTCTTCACCTTCCTTTCAAACTGTCAAATATGCAAAATCTAATTCAGGCAACAACAATTGAGGTTAATGGAATAATTAGAAACATGGGGTTAAGTAATTAACCACTGAGGCAACAAGAAGGGAGCCACCACTAGTTTTTGTGGTTAATCTTTGATTAAACTTGAGTTTGTCATAATTTGGGCTCCTGAAGCTCCTCACAAATCCACCCACTTCTCTATCTGTTCAACATGTGCAATCTTTCACTTGTCAAATTAATATAGACAGCTATATTTTGCCAGTTAAATTAGCATGCATAAACTGGACCGAATCGAACCGTGCTCACTCCTGGAAAACAATACTGGAAAAAAGAAATTCAAGGAAGCAAACTTACTTTGCAGAGGCAGGAAGGTAGGAGCTGACAAGAGAGTGCTGGCCATTTTTTTTTTTTTTTTTTTGCAGTTTGATATTTTTTTTATTTATTTCCAGAAACAGTTGCTGCTAACTTGAGGAAATGTCTGGAGCTGGAGCCTCTGTTCGCTGGGAATGAAATTACAGTAAGGACCTCATTTGTTCCATAACAGTGACACTAGACCGAGGGCATTGAGGTAATTGAAATGTCTGTTTGTAACTTTGAATAAGAGGACGGAGGATCTTATCCAATACCTTCACTTTTATAATAAAGTTGATAAACTTGCCACTTGGTATTCATCTTTACTAGTGAGTAAATGATTTTTGAATTTGAATCTTATTAAATTTATAAGAAATATGAGCATTCAATAAAAAATTAAATAACAATAGGAAGGATGAAGTGGTGTGTCACATCCCGGTCTGGGGCGGATCACTTCCCGGGCCCACTCCACCACCGTAGCACGATATTGTTCGCTTTGGGCTTACCATTCCCTCACGGTTTTGTTTTTGGGAACTCATGAGCAACTTCCCAGTGGGTTACCCATCATGGGATTGCTCTAGCCTCTTCTCGCTTAACTTCGGAGTTCTTACGGAACCCGAAGCCAGTGAGCTCTCAAAAGGCCTCGTGCTAGGTAAAGATGGGAATATACATTTAAGGATCAGTCCCCTGGGCGATGTGGGATGTCACAATCCACCCCCCTTTAGGGGCCCGACGTCCTCGTCGGCACATTTCCGGCCAGGGATAGGCTCTGATACCAATTTGTCACATCCCGGCCCGGGGCGCACCACTTCCCGGGCCCGCTCCACCACCGTAGCACCATATTGTCCGCTTTGGGCTTACCATTCCCTCACGGTTTTGTTTTTGGGAACTCACGAGCAACTTCCCAATGGGTCACCCATCATGGGATTGCTCTAGCCTCTTCTCGCTTAACTTCGGAGTTCCTACGGAACCCGAAGCCAGTGAGCTCCCAAAATGCCTCGTGCTAGGTAAAGATGGGAATATACATTTAAGGATCAGTCCCCTGGGCGACGTGGGATGTCACATGGTGGGTCGGTTGGGATAAGTTGTGACCAATTAAAATAGATTCAAATTCAATCTATTGTTTGTTGTGTTAAAATATGAGATGGACAGAACCGGACATGATGAGTTATGAATGTACAATAGAGTGAGTTATCTAACTCATCCTTATACATGGGTTACAAGTCTTGTCTTACAAAGTCTAATCAATACTTGCAAATCCAATATTTATCCTAATGCCCGATTCCGTCTAGTCCACCAAATGAGCACATAAACCCCCAATAATGGAAGGGATTGAGAGAAATAAGTTTAGGGTAATGTTAGATAGATTAAATTTGAAGATTAAATTTGCAAACTAAATGATGTGTTACCAATAAGAATGAGCACGTTTATCAACGCTTAAGTAATAAATCAATCATCAACTTTAATGTTCTCTAGCATTACCCATAAATTTAAGTGGTAATCGTAGAAAAGATAGAGTTGCTGAATACTTTCTTGTATTACAATAGAATTAGGGTTACAAATATATTAGGAGGCTATACAATCATGATCCTATACCGATGAAGCCGATAAACAAGGGAAATCAAAGATACTATTTGTACCCATAAATTTGATATATTTTGGTCTCTAATAGATTAAGTTGTATCATTATATCGAAACTCTCCTACATTAGAGATTAATATGTGTTTCAATTTAATGTGTACAAATAACGTTGCCTTATACCTTTAAATTAGTTGGCTACATTTGAGTGAAAATATTATACTTCTACTTCTTGGAAGAAAAAAAAATTCTGAATCTTTAGGGGTTTTGTTTCAAGTTTCAATTATGTTTTCTAAATTTCTACTCTGCCTTTCATTCTCTCCCAAAAATTCATGTTGTTGCACTTTCTTTGGTTTGAAATTCATGATTGTAGAATTTTATTTGAATTTGTGTACTGACGTCAGTTCCACAAGTTCCATTACTTTCTACAAAAATTAAATCGACTTTAAGTTTTTAAAAGGCGAAAGGTGCTCGTCAAGTGAGGGATAGGAGTCTAGTGCTTGAGATTTTTTTATTTTAATTATATTTATTATATAATATATGAATAAATATCTTATTTATACGTAAAAAAATACATAATTGTATCAAGATATATAAATTACAAAATAAAATAACATATAGATTATAAAGTATTACAAGATATTAAAACCATCTAGAACTAGATATAATAGCGTTCATCTAAATATTTAAAAAGTCTCTCATAATTTATGTAAAATGAAAATAAAGTTATTTCTTTCATTTTAAACACAGTTGCAACCTATACGAGACGTCTAAACAAGTGTAGGAGTATTTTCTTAATTTTTAAAAATGTAGGCATTAATCGCGAATAGCCAAAATACTTAGGGAAATTTTTTAATTATAATTAAAAAAAAAAGTGGTGCATCTTCGTGAAAAAAAAAAAAAGAAAAAAAAGAAAAAAAAAGGAGGATCGAGTGTCTTCCATAGATTTGCTTGCTACGACGAGGGGGTTTTGCTTGGCAGAAACCCTATCGGTCTCTGGTGGATGAAGCCGCCGCCGCCGCAGAGACTTGCAATTCCCCTATGAATAAAATAGGTAAATAATTTATGGGGCTTTTAGATCCAGGTCAAAAAACGTAGAGTGTTTTTAAGAGTGAGTCCAATTATCTAATTATATGTTTTTATTTCTTTTATACTCATTTTATATTTTCTAAAAATATTAAAAATCAATTAAAATCTTCTAATATTATGCATTTTCCAACTCCAAAAAAATATATTTAATATCTTATAACAAAAAAACTAATATACTAACATAAATTTATTTGCAAAACATTCTACCCTAACTCAAGTAACAAATATATGAATGTATATAATACTTATATGTGAGATATGAAACCTAATTAAAAGGTAGAAAAAACATAACATACCTACAAACAAGACACATTAATCTGTGACAAGTTGATTACAAAAAAAAAAAAAAATCTATCATATAGGTAGATAAATATAATTAACCTGTGATATAGGTTGATTATAAAAATTAAAAATAAAATCTATAAATGAGGTTTAAAGCAGAAGGAAGAACAAGAAATAACAAAAAGATAAATAAAAAGAAATAAGTAAAGAGATAATTGGGAAGAAATTTGATTTTTATAATAAATCTTATCATTGAACAGATAACTATTTATAATTAAATAATTAAATATAACAAATTGGACTTATTTTAATAAACTGAATTATTCCTACTATTGGCTAAAAAATTAGACTTATATCAAGTTTCCCATAATTTATTCATCATAACATGTGTATGACTCAACCACATCGTTTCTTTCTTCTTCTCAGAGGTGCTCAACTTTATTCATCTCTCTCCCTCGGTCTAGGTCTCCACTCTCCAGACACACTCTCTCTCTCTCTCTCTCGGTCTCCCCTCCGGCCTCCCCTTCATTCCAGCTCCTAGCCTCTAGAGTGCAGAGTGCTATAATATGGTAAGAACTATGATTTATAACTTGTTTTAGGGTTAGGTTTAGGGTTGGGTTTTGAATCAAAAGGGGATTTGAGTCTTCCATTCTAAGAGATTGAGGTCACTCGCTCTCTGTTTTCAGTGATTAAATGGGGCCGAGCAGATTTGGAGGATTGGTTAAAGGGCTTGGAGTTGCCAGGAGAAGGCCATTTGCAACCTCCCTTCCTCTTCCTCCTCTTCCTCCTCCTCCACCGCCGCCGGTGATGGAACGATTGTTCGTGGCACTGGTAGCAAATAATTGAACCTCTACTCTGCCATCAACCAAGCGCTCCACATCGCCTTGGAAACTGATCCTCGGTCAGCACTTTCTTTCTTCAATTCTACCTGTTGTATCTGCTTGCTTGCTTCATAATTTGGACTGAATTCGATCTGCAGTGTTTTTAATCGTTTTCTGAATTGGGTTTGCTCTGCATTCATTCAACTATTCTCGTTGATTGAATCGTATGTGATTGTGATGTTGTCTTATCTCTTAGATCAGATGGTAATTTTGCTTTTGGTCTATCGACTCCACTATAAACAATTATATATCCACTGCACACACCTACACGAATTGAATCCACCCTCTTGATTAAGGAGATATTTGCATTACTTTGGGCTGCATGTTGATTTCAATCCTTGTATCATGATGTGAACTCTCTTGAAATTAAGATTAGATGTGCATTGCATGCTTGGTTGCTGACTACAATAAATAATGCTGCATTTGGGCTATCGAAGGACTTGTTTTTAATGTCAAAAGTCAAAACTTGTTACTTGTTTATTAGATCTGGTGTAGCTTTCAATTCAAACTGTTTGTTTGTTCACCTTCAAATACTTGTGGAGATCTAATCAGAAATTAGTTGTGATTCAAACACCAAAACTTTTTTACACCAAAGCTTGAGTCACACAATCTTTAATGGAAGACTTCAAGGTAAGCCAATGTCCATTTTAAACTCTCTAATTCCACTTCTCAATCTCTTCTATGTTAGAGAGTGTAAAACAGCATAAGAAAATCAAGTTCAAACAAGAATTATGACACAACCTATTATCCTTAATTTTAGCTTAAATCAAGATTTGGAAATTATTTGTGGTCTCTCTCTATAGTAAATTACTACATATATAGGCCCTCAACCCGAAAAAATGTTTATTCTCGCATTTTTATCTTTCTCGCATTTCAATTTCATTTTTCAAATATCATTTGATGTTTCTGATGAGTTATGGGGATATTTGTCCCAATACTCTTATACTGGGTCTACACTGGGGTTCTTCAATTCGCGGAATCTAGATTTTCGAAATTCAAAATCCCAATAGTGAAAGAGTCAGACGACAAAAACCTCGTCTCTCGACCAACTGTGGTCGTCGGCGTCCTGCTCCAGTAGTTTGGGCAGGCTACTATAGCGGGGCTGCTGTTCTTGTTGACATGCCCAACCACTCAAGGGCATGCAGCTGCCGTGTACCACTAGAAAACCCTCATGGCGCCGTTTCACGCAAGGGTCCAATTTCTCTTTGCCATGCTTGTCTTGGATACTTGGTAGTATTTCATGCATCGATGCATGCATGAAAACAAGGTGCTTTACAAGTACATACACTCCCGCCACCATAGGTTGGTGGCGCCGTACGCATATGAAGCAATGTACAACCACCCCATCGAGGGGCTGCTGGTGGACAACATGAGTGGTGTTGTCAGCTTTCTGGCGTTCGGCGTGTCTCCGAGGATGTTAATTTGTCTTCTTGTTCGCCACCGTCAAGGTAGTGGACGACGTGGAATGTGGATTCCGTGAAATCTATTCAAGGGTAACCATTTGTGATCCTTTTTACCTTATAACTTTCGTCGTGTCATAACCTAACAAAAACAGATATGAGAAATAAATTACAAGGGATCACAAACGGTTACCCTTGAATAGTTTTCACGAAATCCACATTCCACAGTGATCCTCCACTGCCTTGACGGTGGCGAACGAGAAGAAAAAAATTGACATCCTCAGAGACATGTCGGACGACAGAAAGCTAACGGCACCACACCTGGTGTCCACCAGCAGCTTCTCGACGGGGTGGTTGTACATTGCTCCATATGCGTACGCCACCACCAGCCTATGTTGGCGGGAGTGTATATACTTGTAAAGCACCTTGTTTTTTCGTGCAGGCATCGATACATGAACTGCCAAGTATCCAAGACAAGCATCGCAAAAAAAAAATTGGACCCCTGTGCAGAACAACACCATGAGGGTTTTCTGGTGGTCAACGACAGCTGCATGCCCCTGAGTGGTCGGGCCTGTCCACAAGAATAGCAACCCCACTATCGTAGCCTGCCCGAACTGCTGGAGCAGGACTCTGACGACCAGTTGGTCAAGAGACAAGATTTTTGTCCTCTACTCTTTCACTATTGGATTGAAAATCTAGATTTTGCGAATTAAAAAACCCCAACGTCTAGTATAAGCGTATTGGGACAAATATCCTTAATAACTCATCCGAAACTTCGAATGACATTTGAAAAATGCAAGAAAGATAAAAGTGTGAGAATAAGCATTTCTTCGGGTTGAGGGTCAACATACGTAATAATTTACTATAGAGAGAGACCACAAATAATTTCCAAATCTTGATTCAAGCTATAATTAAGGATAATAGGTTTTGTGTCATAATTCTTGTATGAACTTGATTTTCTTATGTTGTTTTACACTCTAATTTCACTTCTCAATCTCTTCTATGTTAGAGTTAAAATGGACATTGCCTTGAAGTAAAGACCAATGTCATATTTTTTCCGAAAGTCGGTCTTTATGCCAATTTCATAATCAAGGCTGTGCGTTGAGTGAGCAGACAGAATTCTAGAATGTTGGATGGAAAGTTGCAAAAGATAATTTTATTATTGTTAAGGGTCAGAGTTGCTTAACTTACAGCCCCAAATATATTTTCCGGATAATTTTTCTTCCCCGGCGCACCAACTCTTGCAATTCCCTAATACTTTTCTTTCGACTGGATCGCATTCCATTTTCTATTTGGGCCTGTTTGGCAGGCCGGTTTGAGTTCAATCCCACACGGATGCAAAGCCCATTGCGAGGCAACGCGACGTTAGCAGCCTCTCTCTCTCGTCGCAAGCGGCATTCTGGGTGGGTCATCGCGACCAACACTGTGTGCGGATAGTGAGCAGCGTTGAGCGTGGCGATTTGCGGTACAGATCGAATCCGTTTGCGCCTCCGATTCTTCCATTGGTAAGTTTCTACGGCTCCTGTATTCTAAATCTGAAAATTTTGGGCTCAAATTGCTTGTTCTTCATCTGGGTTTGTTTTTCTTGGAGACATTTGGTTCAATTAATTTGTTTATTTTTATTTTTATGGGCTTTTGAATTCCTTTTTTGGGTTTTGTGATTGTTCAATGAATTTGTTGGTTTGGTGTATCTCTGGTTTTGGTTGAAATAAGTTGAATATGTTTTGTGATTGTTCTATTAAGTATTTATGACCTATCATGTTCCTAATTCTTTTAATTATTTTAATTTTTAATCTTCTGATATTCGGTGGTGATTCAATTATCTGCAGAATTTTAATTTCAATTTCTTCTGTGTGAAGTTAAAAAGAGTTTGTTATATTATTGTTCATTTGAAATTTCTGTTGCCATTGTGAATTATCTGCAGAGAAATTTACCTTCTTTCTGTTTAAATCCAAATTGGGGTTTGGGGTTTGCGGTTTTACCCCAGCAGTGATATAGAACAAGAAATTCATCTTGAACTGTCCATGAGGCGAATAGTGTGACTGCAGAAACCTTTGGTAAAAATCTTGTAAATGTGGTCAATTTTTTTTATAGAATTACTGTTGTAGAGTTGAGGTGGAGGAGAAGAAAGCAAATGTACGTGGGGATTTACCGTGTGTGAATGAGCTTCGAATGGATAGAAGAGCCTTTGGTATAATGAACTGGGGCCTGACTCCTTTTTAATAGGATATAGGCCTTAGAATTGGATTGTGTTGTCTTTGAATTGTACCTCTGCTAGGTTTTGTGATTAGTCGGATCATGACTTGTGTATTTATGCAAGCATTTTTTCTTGGTATCGATACGGAACATTTTACATTAGTACCAGTTTTCGCCTTGGCATGTTCGTCATTTTAGTTTCTTTTCTTATATTAGAATTAGATACATAGTGATTGTTCTTGCTTGTATTCTCTTAGAAATATTGTTAGACATGGATCGAATGATAGAGAGGAAGATTATGATTACTCTAATTGCAATAGAGTTAGAGAAACGACATTTTTGTGCTGCAGTGATATTGGTAGCTATCTTATATGCTCCGACGTTGTGGTGTTGTGAAAAGTTCTATCTTTAAATTCGTACTCTTTCTAGACATGAGACTCGTTTGAGTTTGCTTCTAGACAAGAGACTCGTTTGAGTTTGCTAGATCATAGTAAAATAACGTGTGTGAATAAGCTTTCAATGGATAGAAAAACCTTCAGTATATTGTGCGAGTTGCTTTGCACTCATGGAAGGTTGAGGATGTATGGTTCAGTATCTATAGAAGAGCAAGTTTGTATTTTTCTACACATTCTTGCCCGTCGTGTAAAAGATCGTACGGTGCATCATACATTCGTACAATCTGGAGAAACTGTGAATGGATACTTCAATTCGGTTCTAAAATAATGAGGTCATAAGGCTACATGAAGATGATGGTGCTCTTTTGAAACAATGTGGTATTAAGAATGTCTCAACTCTATCTGCGTCTGGCTTTCTTGTTTATTAGAATTCGTAATTTACATTTGTAGCGGTTTACTTATTGTCATTTCGGTTGCAATCCATGTGTTGTATCGATTTTCTTGCGACGTCGTACCGAATATTACACGTACGGTACGGATGAGCACACATAAGTAGCAAGGAGAGGAGGCAGATGCAGCAAAGTATGGTGTGATTAATTGGGAATTAACAATGAAATGAACGGCTAGGATTAGCCAAGCTTAATCAAGTATTTTGATAAAAGATGTTGGTGCTCTGAAAACAATGTGGTAATAATGTCTCGTCCTCTATCCATGGAGAAATGAAAGCCAACAAATGTGGTAGCAAAACGTGCTAAACCATGGGCGGGGCGACCATCCTGCTTGGAATTCACCTAGTTGTTTGTCCTGATTGCAAAACTCTGTGTTGAGGACCTTAGACTCATACTCCACCTCGATTAGACGCTTGTTCTCTTCCTCCAAAATAGCCAGTTTCGCCCTGATTGCGAAACTCCGTCTTGATGGTCACCGAACCACGGCTATGATACCGCTTATTGGGAAATTAGTCTCACTCATCAAGGAAAGCAAATCCAATCGAAAAAATAAAATTGAATTCACCGTCTACGAGATTCAATTAAGCCACATTATGAGCAGCCTAATTTAGTATCGAATTCACCATCTACGAGATTCAAACCTCTCACTTCTAAGTGAAGAGAAATATCACCAAAACCGTATATAGTAACTAAGTGACTCCCTTTAGTTTTTTAACATTAGTGTAAAAAGTTGAAAATAAAAGGGTTTATGACACATATATAAGAATTTCTTTATTCTTCTTAACGAGGAGGTATTTATAAGATCACAAAGGAGCAGTAACATAAGGAAACCTAGACCAAATCATATCAAAACCTTAATTGAATCCTATAAAATCATTAATTAAATCATCTCTCTAAAATACTTTCCTTTTTACCAACATATAATTGATTTTTGCTTCTTGAAAAACGTTTATGGATTGTGCCGATACAAAGGGTTTGTAGCATAGTTTGGTTAAGAAAAGTCATCTTGGCAGTACGAGTATCAGAGTTTGATTCTTTTTCTCTTGCGGCGGTTGTATAAGAATGTCTAGAACAACTACGATCAAACAAAACATGTTATTCAACGTCGAATGAGGACTAGTTGTGGGGCTCTCTTCCCATCAAATGTGGACAATACGAACTGTTTATGGACTAGTTCATCTTCATCTCTCTTCTTATTTCTATGCCAAGTGTTTGTTTTTAGCATGCATACATGAAATATTCTTCTCATCACACAACCAACCACAACCACATATTGTTCTCAAAGCATTCATCAACTTAGAGTCTAACTTACAATATCTCAGCATTGATAATCTCTAAAACATGGAATCAAATCTTCTTCTCTGTTTTTTTTTGTTTTCCATCACACAATAGATAATTAACTGTCATGCAAACAAAACTAAAACAAGAATTACCAGTCTTCATTGTGTCTTCTGAGTTTATTAACTTTAGCATGTTACTTGACATCTTTCGGCAATTAACCCATGTGACAATATTCTCACTACAATAAACATCAAACAAAATGTGACATGTTAAGAAGTTTAGTTTTCATACTTTGGGTTGAACTACTGTTTCTGATTTATAATGATGTCTTGTTTCAGAATGCTCAAAACAAACGAGGTGCTGACTGTTTTGTGAGCAGGTTAACCAAAAATATGCTATTATTAACCTTTCTTCTTGGCCTCGAATGCTTATGTTTTGTGAAAACACTTTCTTTGCCATCTCCTTGTCTTTGTACCGTCAAAATTTAACCGGTTGAGTTGGTCATCCACTGTACCTCAGCCTTTCATTTAAAACATACTCTTTCGGCACATTTGTATAGGTTTCTATGGATTGCAGCTTGAAAATGAAAATTTTGTCTTAGTTGAATTTTAATAAAGTTTTCAAGTTTGTTAGTTTTTGTATTTGTTTTTGAGTTTTGTTTTGCTTGAGGACAAGCAAAAAGCTAAGTTTGAGGGTATTTGATAAGTCCATATTATACCATATATGTTACCCTATTCTTATTTATATTTTATTGGTTATTTTGGTAGAATTTTGATACTTAGTTATGTATTTTTAATGTATGACATTCGACTTCATATGGAGCAAAAAATGATCAAACAGATGAACTTTGGAGTGATTCTAATTGGAGGATGTTCGTGAGTCTTTCAACATGATTGTATCAAAATTTCAGATTTTTTTACCAAGCCGTTTGACCGTGACGATGAAATTAAGGTCTAGCGCGCAGCTTTCTCAAATTGACATTTTTGGACGTTTTGTGTATTTTGAAGGTCAAGATAGCGTATTTTGAGGAAGATTCCTTTTGAGGATTTGTTAGGGATGTCTCAAGATTTAAAAAGAGACCTTTTAGGACCAAATCGGAATTGATTTGGTTGGTGTCTGATTTTCTGAAAAGTCCGAATTTCAGTTTAAATAGGAAACCTTTTATTTTGTAGTTATTTGATTCTATTATGTTTCCTAGTTTTTAGAAGACCTTTTATAGGAAGGATTTTATTTTCTAATAGTATAAAATAAAGCTAATTAGCCATTAGAGAAGGGGGTGAACGCATATAATTTAGAGGCATCAATTTGGAGAACTTAGATAGGCTTTTACAATTTTGTTTTCAAAATGTTTTCTTTTGTTTTCTTTACTTTTCTAATGTCCTTAATCATTTTAGTTAAATTCGTTTTTATTATTCTATGTCATAAAATCAACCTTTTCTAAACTCTGTTTTCAAATAATTAATTAATAATTAGTTTAAATACAAATTATTCAAACAATTCTTGCGGAAAATGACTTTGTTTGAGCTGCTATACTACAACAACCTTGTACTCATTTTTAAGTGTTTTTATCCCTACTTTTGTAGATGGTGAAAAATCCCTATCATAAATCAACGACGAAATAATTGGGTTCGAGAATATAACTAACATCAAGAAGGACATCCAAATCAAACTCGGAAAGTAATTATACCTATGCATTATGGTGCGGGTTCGGTTCTCATCGTTATCCTTATCTCTTAATAATTAACAATTTAATCCACTAAGGGTCTTTTCAAAACAGTAGAATTTGAAAAAGGGCATAAAGGTAATTGAAGTGTCTATCCCCTTATCCTCTGTTTTACCACCACCCACGCACCCACCCACGGATTGCATTCCTTCTTCACACCCTTGAGTCTCCACAGCTTCTGAAACTTTCTTCGAATGGCAAGCTCTCTTTCTTTCATGCCTGTTTGTTCCTTCGATTCCACAAACAAACCAAGTACTATCTCTATCTCTGCAAATTTGGGAAATTTAGTTTATTGCTTTCTGTTTCTTTTTGTTAATTGAGTGAGCAATTTGATTTTTCTACAGGGGTTTTCATCGAAAAATCGGTTGGCGGGAAGGTTGTTCGGGTGAATCAAGTGTTTCGGAGCTCTAAAGCTGCAAACTTTCAGTCATGGGAGGTCAAGGTGAGGCATTTCAGACGAACCCATTTTTCGAAATTTTGGAAACCTGTTGCTTTGCATTGATTTCCTTTGCTCTAGCATGTTATTTGGATTGGACCTTTCTATCGACTTGTTTTAGGAAGAAATATATAAAATCAATGGGTTGTGAAATTTTATTTGTGAAAGTAAGAGTGATAAACATGTTCTTAATGTAGTTTCATGGCCGAAAGATACCCGAGTTTCCAAGTAAATCTCTTTTATGATTTGGTTAGGAGCCTGCTAGAATGTTGGGATTGTTGGATGCCTTGGAATGGTAGGATGTAATCGAAAATGTGGAAGCATTAGCCAACTATATCCGATTGAGGGGATGATACGAAACATTAGTCTTGATGAGTGGAACCCTATAGCAGAAAAGAATTGGTACTTTTGATTTGCGTAAGCATATGAGTAGAGGACTTTGTATGCGAATCGATTGATAGTATATCAAGGGCTGTTCTTTTCCTCAGACTTCACTTTGGTTTTGTGTTGCAGGCTACAGACGGTACTCCAACAGCCAAAGTAAATAGCCTAGTCTGTTCAGCATGTGAGGGAAACGGTAAGCGAATAACTGGTCTTTGAATATATCTTATGCTGAATATTGACTTGATGCTTTAGAATGAAATTTCTGAAAGCATTCAGGCAAATATTTCCTCATTGTTTTTCGACTCTCTGGCATGATGTATAGCTTCTTGTCTCTCTTTATCTTGGAGGAGTATGGGGTTTAATCGTCTATTGTTTTCCGAATCTAGCAAACTATGCCGACCACTAATCAGATGCTTAATTCAGAAACTAGACACATCTAATTGCAATGTCAATGTGTTTCGTCAAGATCCATAAAAAAACACAAAAAATAGCTGTTTCTTTCTCAGTTTTCTGAAGATCTTTTCTTCAGAGGAAAGAACGTTTAAATTGGAAGCTACTACTCGATACCTTATATTTTGCAAACTGATTTCTGTTATTAATAAAAGTAAAAAAAAAAAAAAAAAATCAAATTGCTCATTTTGTTCTTCCATGTTTATTGGTACATGTCTTAAATTCTGTGATTGCATCATCAGTTCTCATTGCTTTCAAAATCAATTTAGTGGACACAGTTTTGATTGAGTTCTTATCTTATTCGTTGATGTTCTCCAGTACAATTTATATGTTTCATATGCATAGTCAGCCTTTGTCTTGATCCTTTCGCTGAAATATTTTCTTGTTTTATTAGCATCTGAGGATTTCAGCTCACAAGTTTTTCATTTCTGATCCATCAACCAGGTGCAAAAGTGTGTAATCAATGCGAAGGTACTGGAGTTAATTCTGTAGACCACTTCAACGGACAGTTTAAAGCTGGTGGACTATGTTGGCTTTGCAGGTAACCATGTTGCTTCGAATCAAAATCTAATATGATCGTAATTTTCAGGAAGGAACGAAATTAATATTCCTAATAAAGAGATCTCAAACTTCAAATACCGCATGTTGTTCCTTCCCTTCATCTAAACTGACCAGCTTATAGTTCATCCCAATTCGATAAATCCCATTTCATTGTTAAAATGTTAGCTTGACTGTGTCTTTCACCGATTGAAATTTTTGTGATAGCTCTTTCTCATACGTGCTACCATACCATCTGACACTAGTAACCATGTTTTCTTGCAGGGGGAAGAGGGAGATTCTGTGTGGAGAATGCAATGGTGCAGGGTTTTTGGGTGGCTTCATGAGCACACATGATGCCTAGATCGTTGTGACCTGCAAGGATTACACGATCGTTAGAAATTCTACCAGAACAAAAAATACCAAAATATGTTGCTCAGTTTGTTGGTATGGTGAAATGTTGTACTTTGTAAACAAGTCAAGAACTCATTTCTTTGATTAGATATTGTAATATTGCTTGCTGCATTTTGGTTGAATTACAATGAGAAAGACAGACCGCGATATTCTCTTTACTTGCTAATCTCCGCGATTTTCACCTAGTCCACCTCTTGCATCTTCATTGTAAAACGGCTTTCAAGCCTCTCACTCATGTCAATGGAACAATCCTTTTGTTTGTGTTTGGATGTGGTCTATTACGCTTAATCCGTCGTTACCAAAATCACCCGAAAAATAAACTTATGCCTGAACTTGTCGAACTTGTGGGAGGCAGCAGCAACAACCTTCAGCCTTGAACCATCCCGTTCGTCCCTCGGCATCCAGTGACCATTTCCGCCAAATCAACTTCCCTCGCAATGTATTTTCCTCCTGTTTAGTTGCGGAGGAAACTGCATTGAAATGTTGCGTCCCAAGTGAAGCTCAGCTTAAATTTTTAGTTTCTGTGTGTTTTGTCGCATTTTCTCGGAAACCAAACAGCCATGTTATGCTTAAATTATGCTCTTTAGTTTTTCCTGGTTGGTATCTACTATCTATTGAGATGGACAGAGATATTTTTAGTGTTCTTCCACTTTTATTATGAAACGCGCCTGGACACCGAGTGAAAGAAAGATAAAATCATAAAATCACTCAAGCATAATGCCAAACAGAACTACACAATAAAAAACAACAATAACAAGTCGCCTTATCCCACTAAGTAGGATCGGCTACTAAATTTTATGATTTTGTGTCAAGTCTTTCGTTTAGATCAAGTACATAATAACTAATGTCATAATTAATTAACCATTACTAATTAAAATTAATTAACTACATCTATCCATGATGACACAGATTGTGTCCAAACCACACTCGGTTGGGCAGGAAGGTGTTGAAGTCAAAGATAATAGCGTTTGTATGTGGACCCGAGATCTTGACGAACTCAGGTTTCCAACCGTCGGATCCATTCCTCAGAAGGTTGAGATAACAGATGTCGCGCGCGCATGGCCCGTCTATGTGGAACTTATCGGAGGAGCACCTCTCAAACGTCCTTGAAACTGGATCATCAACCCTCTTTGCATACACCTAGTTATGCAGATAAAATCAAAAGTACAAGTGACCAAAGCGCTTATGAGTATAAATGCTTTTGAGAGAAGCACTTCGAAATGGAACCTAAATTAGTGGTGGTATTACCAACCTCATTGCCGTGAGCATCACCGTAAGCAAGGCTGATCCTGTCTCTGGTGGAGATGGTGGAAGAGCAGCTGGTTTTTATGATCACTGTATAAGGGCAGCTCCTCTTGGCCTGCAGGGCCGGAGGGAGAGAACTAGAAGCAGCATGCAAACGCAAGAACCCTAACCCTAACAGGGCAAAAACAAGAGAAAACACAACTTGTTCTGGTTTGATCATGTTTCCTGTAAATTTCTATTCTTATGATTCCAGAAAATGATGAGAAACCAGGTGCGTTTATGGCTGTTTTAAACACTCCCACTACTTTTCTTGTGTAGTCTTATGGAAAATGACAAGTCGGTTACAGTCTCTTGGTTTGCTCACATTTTTTGTTCCCTTCATGCCCCCCGGTACTTTTTTAGGAGAACCATGGTACACGGAGGAATTCATTTTAAAAATTATAATAACATAACTTGATATAGATCTAATTTTGTGAGCCATTAGTAGAATTAGTCCACTTCATTGAAATAGGTCCAATAATTGAGATTCCATGTATGTTTATTTATGATTTGTACCATATTTACCCCTTAGACTTACGAATTGTAGTAAATACACAAAATTTCTTAATTATGAGATAATTTGTGGTTTAACTAATCCCTTAATTGTAGGATTAGTTATAGCCATATAATCACCTCAACCCCCGGTCAGTTTCATCCCTCCTTTTTTCCTTCTTCCAAACAATTCCCTCTATCAATCCTCCTCTTTTTTGTCTCTTCTTTTCATGGGTGATATTTTTGCGTTCTTCCCTCCAAATTCGTTCCTTTAATGGAGGTATATTATATCATATTTTTATTTTTATGTTCCGCCATGTAGGTTCCCAACATTTTTCTTCCCATACAATAGGTAGTTTATTTTTGTTTTGCGGGTAGATTATATCTGCTTTGTAGGTATAAAACATTTTCTTCCTATACAATAGGTAGGTAGATACTAGATTATATCAGTCTTGTTTTCTTCATAAATAGTAGGTAGTTACTAGATAATATTTTAGTTTGAGTATTTAAATATTCAAAATTTAAAAACTGAATAAATGATAAAAAATTAAAGAATTTAAATATTTTTATATGAAAGGGCAAAATTGATATCAAAATATGTAATTGGATAACTGGACTTGATCCCAAAAACTACCTAAGTTTTTGGACCTAGATCCAAAAGCCCCTTAAATTTTAATAGTCTGAATCTTCAGATTTGATGAGGTAGGGGAAAGGAATCTGGAGTTGATCCCGTTCATGTACATTGTCAATGTCATATCTCGCTAAAATGATAATCTGAACTTTTTGTCCAAAATGTTCTTATATCATTGGTACAAAACTGTACAAAGCGGTATATTTGCCATATAAATCTTCTTTTTGAGTTTTCTTGTCAGTATGTGAATGTGAGGATAAAGTCTCATATCGATTTGGGGTGCAAAGACTTATAAGATATTAGGTACTCTTCATATTGCCAATTAGTTTTATAAATGAACCTCAATTTCTTCATAATATAAGAATAAGTTGACTTACGTGTGAAGCCTAATTAGCATACCCGTTTGTGTTTTTCACGCATTAAACTTGAAAATTCATCGCACATGCGTATAGAGACGTGTGAGAATGTGAAAATAAAACTCACGTTAGTAAGAGAGAAATTAATGCAAGAACTTATAAGATATTGTACTACTCATGTAATCAATTGGTTTTACCACATAACTCCAATTTCTCCAAGAAACTATGGCTTTACAAGTAAAGTATGTGGGATACAATGGTAATTCGCTCATATAGCACTGCCAGGCTGCAAGCGTACTGACTGCCGCACTGAATCCGTGATGCTCAATTTAACTTCTTTTGATGCAATATTTACTCAATACTGAACGCTCACCGAGGGATAAAAGGTCATCCCATCTTCTGTTTTCGGGAATTTTAATGAAAAAATTTTGGTAGCATTCATTTTAAAGAAAAATCACATTTTAAAATTAAAAAGTCAATTATAGTACTATTTATTTTACTATTTATTTTATCTTTATCATTAAAACTCAAGTTTTCAAGTTTTTTTTAAATTAATTTTTCTTATTTTTTTCAGGCCACTTATATTTAAGTACATCAAATGGGGAAAAAGATTCATTCTGAATTTATGTCTGGAGTTCATGAACTGAGATCGAGATTGTTTAAGAGAGATAAAGATTCGCGTCTTTCAAGTTTGTAGGTTTTGTGAAGAAGCCAATGAAATAGATAAATAAGAGCCGTAGAATTGAAATTGAATGATCATGATCTTTGAATCTACGAGGTCAGTAGGGTACGAACTCAAAAATCGAAAGTGAATATTGATCAATCAAGTAGCAGTACTCAAAGTATATCATGTACATTGTATATTTTACTTTGCTGACATCTCATCGATTAACTTGAAATATTGTCAGCTTAGCATTTCATTGCATCTTAAAAAACCCCATTGGAAACTAGTTTTCAAAAAACGAGTAGAAACGTAAAGAAGGTGCGGAAATCAATTTTTCTTAAATTAAAAAGGGCTATGCCAAATCTTATTTACACATTGAAAACAATTGTTTTTCTTTAAGCACGGTAATTGCAATCTCATGTCTCCATCGACAGTTTACAAAGATTACAACGGCGCACTGGGAGCAGCACAATCATACCAGGTGTGGCAATGGCATCACGACAATATGAGACGCAGAATCTCTCCCGAATGTTTGAACGATTTCTCGGTTTCTTCCAAGCAGTGGTTCTTCTCCTCCCTCGTCCAGCTCTGTCGATGCACGCATGTAAAAGTTAAATCAAAGCAAAGAGATGCACATAAGAAGATTTTGAGCAGCAAATTAAATCTACCTCGGCAACTTTATTCAACTTCTCCTCACATTCTGCAGCAGTTGGGGAAGCTCGCCGTCCCATTTGTAGAATTCCAGTCCTTTTTGTCTAGTATCATTTCCGCCACCTGAAATTGGGTGAGAACAAAAACGAACATGTGTCTGAGACTTGAGAGCTTGAGCTGAGAAAATCAATGGTTTTCTACACGCATAAATCATAAGCTAGTTATTCATCAATTAGCTATATTGCTATGAACTTAAGTGGATGGCCAATAGTTATTCATCAATTAGCTATATTCCAAGTCCCCGTGCCCTACGTCGGACACTCAACAAGCTCACAAACCAGAACCAATGTGACATACTCTATGACATGTTTACATGTTAAAATGAGTGGACACACTTTCCGGTCATTGTTTATGTACCTTTTTCCCAATCATTCGCCCACCAGCTGAATGAGCGAAGTATATATTGTAGAAGTGGCAAATAAATGCTTGAGGATCCTTCTCCGACAGTTCCTTAAGATACTCCGCGTAGGTAACACCAGGAGTAGAAGGTTCTGGTATGGCATAACCTTGCTCCTTAAACCACTCCAAATCTTTTGCCAACTTTTCGGACCTTTCCAATCCAGTATTTCTGAACTCCGCGTCTATAGCCAAAAAAGAAAACAGTACAATAACATTACAAGTTAGCTCAGTCACGACATACAATAACATACTAACAGTACACAAGTACATGTAATTTTGCAAAACTCAGATACATTCATGAACATTTGGAATCTATGCGGAAGTTCCCATTATATGAATCCTTAGTTTCCTCATTTCGTTATTCATATCTAAAGGCTTAAACTACTTGATGATAAACAAAACCGAACAAGAATAAACCGTGTTGCTCAGATAAAGCACAGACCGCAAAATTAGAGTGGCAGAACCAATTGTTTGAGCAACAGCTACTACTCCTGAGTAATGGAAGAAAGCGGTATCTCAACCGAATACATTCACAAAGTGAACATAGAAATTACTAGCAATCCAACTATAATAGCACACAAACAAAGCTATAAAAAGTTGCACGACGGGGAAACATTATACCGGGCAGATTGTCGAAGAGAATTTTATCTAATATGGTAAACTGATGCAGAAAACAGATGCATATATAGAACTCGATTTCTTTGTTGGTGCAATATCACTACACAGTCAAATAAACATACATGATCAATAACACGTAATGAACACAAAATGATTAACAATGCCTCGGCGCTATAAAACGCGAAATCAAATCCGCAAACACGATGAAAAAAGGCAATCCACAAAGCCAAAATATTACAAGATCATCCAACACCCAACACACATGATCGAAATCCAAACTTTAACAACCATATCAAAGCCAATATCTCCAACCGAGAAACAACATCCAGAAAACATTCGTACAAATACAAATTTGAATTCAAACACCTCCAAAATAATTCGAACTTTCAATCTAAAAACAATCAAAAAATTACTCACAAGAAGGAAATGGAGCTTTTTGAACAATCTCTTCAAGGGTATCATAAACCAACTTGCTATCCACCAAAAACTTCAAATACCCATCGACTGTTGGCTCCCACTTAGCCACCGGCCCCTCCTGCGGCTCCTTCACCTCCTTCTCCCCCTCCTTCGCCTGGTCCCTGGTATGCAACTTCATCGCCACAAACCTCATCTCCTCCACGAACCCCTTCGCCTCCCCTGGGTACCTCTTCTTCGCCTTCTCCGCCGTGGTAGCGGAAACCACCCCGGACGCCGCGCCGCCTTCGTGGGCACTCTGAAACTCATCCTCCGGAACGAAACAGAGAACTTGTTCAGCAATAAACCGGACCTCAAATTTGGTGGTAACTTGAACTGGGTTTTGTTGAAAAGCAATTGGGATTGCGAAACAGGTGCTAAAGAAGCCATTGCAGAAAGTCCAAAGCTTGTAGGAAGAGCCAAGCGAGTCGATTGAGTGTTCGAAAACAATGCGTGAACGGAAATTTCAGATTGAAAAAACACAATAAAATAAAAGAAACAGTGACTTTCACGTACTCTTCAAGGCAACGCGATGGATAATACTTTAAAAAAAAAAAAAAATACAGCTTTTAAATCGGATTTAATAAAAAAAAAATCGAGAATGTTGAAGTCGGTGCAGTGTGGGGTGATGGGTTGCGAGCGTATGGGTCTCTCTGCGCTTTGTTTCTATCAAGATTCAAACTTTCGAGAAAAGGGATGCTCTGTTTTCTTGGTTTTTTTTTTTCCTGCGTTGGAATTGTAATTTTGCTGCTGTGCCTTTGTTCTTCTGGTTCGCAGTTCTTGGTTGGTGGATAGAAGAGAGGAGGCTGGTATGCGACGTCGTTTGGCTTGTTTAATTGAAGGGGCAAGGTTGTAAATACGAGTGGTAGATGTTGTGGCGTGGGGACTACTGTGCCGTGGGCAAGTGTTGAACAACCATTTGACTCACTTCCCTGTT